AAAGAGGTCAAAGTTTTTGAAGGACAAACAAACTTACCTTGTCCAGGTTCATACTGATTTATAGTCAGTTGATCTGGTTTATGTTTGATATATCCCTGCTTCAAGCACCTATCCAAGAACAGGTCATAAATTTCAGGAAGTCCTAGAAAAATGACAGAAATGAAACTAAGCAAGGCAGGATAGCTTTTTACATTTTCATCCTTTCTTTTCAGAATAAATATAATAACTGGACAAAATACATAAAACATCTTTGTAGATACACAAGTGCATATGTAATAATGATCACTCTGCATTTGCTGTAACAAAGATCAGAATCACTTGATCTAAAAGTCTAATATACTTATAACATCTCACAATTAGGAGGGCCATTCTTCCAAGGCCTCCATGTTCAGGAGTGGATCATTCCTTAACATAAAAACTGCACTATCTGTACACATAAATAAAAGTGCATCAAGTCAGAGACAGATTCCATCAACTACAGCAGGAAAGTTGCAGATGAGAAGAGAAATTATGCAGAAAGTCAGAACTCGCACAGGGAACTCTAAAAAGTTCAACCCCTAAAAATCTGTTACTGAATTAAATATCACTAAAAAATTCTGCTGGCATTAAACTGGTCTTGAAATAGGAGTGAAAGTTACAGTCCCTCACTAAATCTTTGGTTTGCTACAACACCCGAGGAAGGACCTCACTGTAAAATTCTGCTGGAGGTAACACCCACAAACATGTTAGTAACAGCCCTTTCCATGAATCTGTTGATTTTTATTTAATTGTTCTCCCCCTATGATGCATTTATGCTTCTCTCACCTATAGTCAAGCTGTGAGACTAGAAAACAGCTCAAATACCAATGCTTTTATTATTATGCAGCTTCACTGTTAAAACTGCAATGGAAGCAGAATCCTTCTGCTGGAAGCTGCATGCCCCCCAGCTCATCACCTTAAGCACCCCCAAGTTTTATAGGAATTTGACTCTCCTATTTTACTGTGTTTAAATGTAAGACTATGAGGCGATTCATTCGCTTTGCTCCAACTCACAGCGCTCAACTCCAAGTACGGGTCACTCAAACCGTTCCATAATCGCTTTCAGTCCAAAGGAAATTTTATTTTGGTGTGCATCCAGAAAACCTCAAGCTAGTCAAGGTAAATATACACAGCAATATACATCACAACCCCCAAACAAATGAATATGTAATTGGCAACTTAACTCTTTTATGAAACAAAAGCTAAGACAGACAATTGCAATCCCAAAAGCCTTATTTGACTGGATCTCAAAGGGCAGCAACCCCTGGCTGCAAGTGGCTGGAAAACAAGTTGCAGTCACTCATAGTAATTTGAAATGGATTTCATTCAAAAGCACTGTTCAGCATGTGCTTTAGATACAATGAAGGCTCTCTTTCTATTAGAATCTCACATCCATATCTTGGTGAGGCTTAAAGGCTTTATGTAATGGTTCATAGGTTACTGCACAGTATTATTCCATAGGGAAGTTCTCACCTCCAGGTAAAGGTTTGTCTTTATCAACATTGTTGTTATCATAGCAAAACTCATATCCAAAATGTTTCACTCTTCTATGCTTTAAAGTCTTCTGGGCTGTAAAAACACAAGTTTAAAGTATGATTAGACTACAGAAAACAGTATAGGCAATTTGCTACACTTCCCTATTCCATCTGACCTGGTAAACCTAACCATTCTTTAAGTTAAAGCAATATATGTTGCCCTTGTCCCTCATGGCACTTCTTCTGCGCTGTTACCTGTCCTATTTCATCCAGCATCACAATCAGTGCTGTCTGAAGTCAAACTGATTCCAATTTTGTATATGCAAGAAGTAGAGAGCACCAATTTTCTTGAGCCATGTTTAATGCATCTTTAATCTTGCACTGATCTCTGAACTTGCACTTGATTAATATCCTACGGATTCAGCAGG